ACCCCTGGTGCTAAGGCTGTGGTGCTGTATCAATCTGAGAGTGATTGCCCTACAGCATGTTCACAAGCAACACACACACACACTGAACACACACACTTCACAAGATTCATAGAACTACAAAGACCACGGCAACATGTCTTTTGAGTAAAACAAATGAGCCCCATACGTTGAATTTCAAGCAACATGAACAAATGCAACATCTGATCTTGTGTGACAGTGCGGTCATGTCTCTGGGGTCTCAGCCCCGTACAGCTCAGCACGGCCCGAGGCAACAGAGGGCAGGACCCTTCAGATTTAACACCTCCCAGACGTGAACACCTGGGATTTATTAGTGGTCAGGCCCATGTGGCTGCATGTAGACAAAAAGTCTTGGCCTTCGTCTCGAAACAGAGCAGAAAAGTTTCAGTCTGTTTCCTTTCTTCTCTACCTGCATTTCATCTGCCTCCCTGCTGCTCGTCCATCTTCAGCGATCTTGTGGGGAGCAGGGGGGTGGGGCTTTTCAAGCTTGACTAATGTGGTTCAGATAGCGTGCAGGACATCGATGGGGGAGCACCTTGATCTGGGCCAAGCCTTGTTTGTTGTGGCGGCTTTACCTCAGTCGAGTTTCTTTCTGCTCTGCTTTAGCAATCCAGTGAAAAGAGCAGCTGCCTGACCCCTTTACAGGCTGGTTTCTGTGGTCTGGAGTTTCAGCATCCTGACAGGCCATCTGCAGCAGGAAGTAGGCCTCGTCGTCACTGCGGTCGACAACTTGCCTCATATCCCGGTTGCTCGCTGTAATCAAGCGCTTCTCTTATCATATGGAAGTATTTCTGCTGAAGATATTTTTGTTGTTTTTCAATTCATTTCCTCCAGTGGAAACAATAAGACGACTTCCTCGGACGGGAGGGGAGTGCGCCAGTGCTGTGTGCAGCTGGAGGTGACACAGCATGCTGTGGTACAGTAATGGAGTCATCCATCAGCAGGCCCCATTAAAACACCTTGACAAGCCAGCTGAGGCTCCAGTGGCCATGGTGACCGGTGTAAAGGTGGATGTTTGTTCTCCAACAGCGGCTGCAGAAATACTCTGTGTCAAGACAACACGGCTGAAATGGATCGGTTCATTTGTTTGCAGTGTTTATTATTGTGTCTTGTACAAGCAAGTGAATTTACAAAGCAATCTTTAAGTAAATTATCAAGGGAGAAGAGAGCTTGTATAAACAGCATTTACTCTATTAACAAGGGTAAACTAATAATTCACTGACACTGATACAAGCTGTTTGTTATCAGAGCCTTTTAGGTTATCCTTTCTTACGCCATTTTTTTCTCTCTACTCTAGTTATTAGAAAGGACACGAATAAGGACAATAAAGTGTTCTTGTTAATAGAATATCTTCATATGCAGAATAATGAGCTGGTATGGTGCAGTGACTCTCACCTTACTCAATGTAAACAGTTTGGACATGTTATGACTGTTAAGTTGAGCTACTAAATCATTTATAATGATTACAATTGCCTGGTTTCCATCCCAGTTAGTCTCACATTTTAACTACATTATGTTGTTATACATTTATTTTTATTTTGTGTCAATCCACTAATGTTATGCAGTTATCAGGAGTCATTTAATCGAGATAAGCCGAAGGTAGGGCAAATTCAAGTAAAAACAGCAAAAATGTTACATAAGACCTGTGTGAAGCGATGAGGAGACACAATCTGTTGCTATGTTCCACCTTTCAGCAGCGATAAAGTTACATGCTTCATTTATGTCATCAATTACGTCCCATTTAATTCTGTTTCTATTGCTCTTTGCTGCCTCTTACTCTCGGCCAAGCATAGAAACGTTTTAATTATTGTGATATTTCAACATTCCTCTGACTTTTTGCAATTTGCACGTATGGCCCATAAGAAAAGCAACATCTATTTGACTCAAACTTCTCCCTGAAAGTCAGTCCAATTTCATTCAGGTTTTAGCTGCGGTTTGTTTGACCTCTGAAAAAACATGTTGTCTTTCAGTCTGCTTGAACAGTGCAGTATCCAAAACAGTGTTTCCCCTACCATTGTCTTGGAGGGGCGCTGCGCCCCGCCAACGGAGCTCCGCGACCCCCCTGAAATTCGAGGTGTTTTTTTAGATATATATAGCACCAAATTGCAACTAATCTATATCTACTGTCACTTTTCCCCCCGCTTAGGCAGCACCCCCCCAAAGCAGTAAACCTAGGGGAAACACTGCAAAAAATAAGTATTGAGTCAGTCTCTTTGTATATTTGAGATTTATACAAAGTCATTTTGTTAAATAACTGTCCATACTGTTACACTTTCTGAAAAAGCAGAAATATTAGTTTAGTCTTTTTTTCAGGCCAGCAGGTAAATAATCCGTTGTTTTATAAGGAGGAATAAAATGATCACACTTTAAGAACTTGTGTGTTTGCTCGCCAAAAACGGCTTTTCACTGTCTGTTTTAAGAGCTTCCTTGTTTGTTCCCTGCACTTTAAAATTCCTCAAGCTGAGATAGAGCAATTATGTGCAATTTCAGCTCTCAAGCCCATCTTCAGAAATCACCATGACGATATTTAAAAAGTGGTTGAAGCACACAACGGTCACTGGTAATATGTTACATATTTTCTGCTGACTGCTCTTTGTTCTCTTAAAGTTTACCCAGTTCATAAACAATGACGTCCTCCCTCAAAATCCTTCATAGATTTTCAATTTTTTCACCACAAAGTCAAATGGAGGAGCCGTTACGTTCGGATTCCTTTCAATTATTGTATTGTCTGTTTGGGACAAACACTGAATCCCTTAAGCCCTGCAGTGAGGTGTTATCCTACAGTTTTCAGTTTTATTTATATTAGAGCTGCTGAAAAAGTCCCAGCGAGCCCCCAGAGTGTAAACTATCTTTGACCAGTGATCAGGATCCTATTCAGACCAGCGTATCTCCTCCATCTGCGGCGTGTCGGCAGGCATCCTCCTGCATTCCTGTCCTTTTGTTTGCAGAGGTAGGGGAAGGACATTAATGAGTATTCCATTGACTTAACATCCTTGGAAAGTCCGCCTTGGCCTCACACCTGCTGCCTCTAAGCCGCTGGAATCTCGGCTGCATCGCTGCTGAGGATGTGCCGCCTGGAAAATATGCGGGCTCTTCAAGGTCCTCAAGGTAGCACAGCATGCGACGAGGAAACGGTGAAGAATGTCAACCTGGACATCGCCTCCACATCCACAAGGAGGGCCAAGAATGTGGCCATTGTTTAATGACAACAGGCTCTTCATCACTGATATTGAGCACCTGCAGACTTAATTGACTTTAAAGCTCCATTGTGATGTTTAGCTTGTTTTGACTTGGGTTAAGGGTCAAGTGGTTGTTGTGCGATTGATCGTAGTTGTTGATTAACACTATGAAGAACTATGTGTTGGTTAAATCTGCCAACACAAACATTACATTTACGACTAAAGTGTAATGTGAGTTTGATATATCCATGAAATCTGCACACGTATTGTTTTTGTATGGATTGTAATTACTAAGCTTTAGAGGGGCTGTAAAATAAATGTTGTTACCTTTTCGCAAAGCCAGACTAGCTGTTTTCCCTTGTCTTTATGCCAAGCTTAGCAACCAGCTCCGGTCTATGTCTTCTGATTTACCTTACAGACATGAGAGTAGTCTTTCAAATTACTCTTGGCATGAAAATGCATTTCTCAAAATGGGAAACTACAGTAGTCGTATGCCGTACATGCTTCAGTTACAAAGAAATTATGTAACCACGTTCATGCCTTAGAAAACTTGTTTAATTCAGTTAAGCCAGTTAACACATTTCTTTACTTTAACCTCTCAATTTGTATTTCATGTTAACCCAATACTATAATCTGCCATTGAAATATCTCTGGTGGCTTTCTGTCTGTAAAACATATAATAGACGTGTGTCTCCTTTGCAGCATGCTGCAGCGGGGATTTAAACGTTTTATCAATAAATGCCAACCGCTTCATATTTTGCCACTGTTCAGACAAAAAGAAAACATAACGGTACAAAATAACTACGAAAAACACAAAAAATGCATACCAAAATTAAGCTGTTTACATAAAAAAAAAAATGTGATTAGGTTATACGGCTTCTATTCTAGATCTCTTTTGTTCCTTTCAAAATTAGAATAAGATTTCAAGCAAGAGCTTGATCCACAAAAGCTTGATCAAGACCCTTCTATGTACAAAGTGTGTTCTCCTTTCTTTTCAAGATCAGTGGTAAACACTGTTTACGTTATATCCAACACTGATTACAGTTTTATAGGAACCTTGGCGGTTTTGCTGTAACTGTTGCTGCAGACAAAGAGAGATAACACTTTTTGCTGACTGTTATCTTGCAATGCTCTTTTGAGGAACAAGAACTGAACCTTGGCAGGAAGCATCTGAGTGAACAACAGGTCGACCAATGAAAACTGTTTTCATCATATAAGCGTTGCATTTGGTTTTACCATATAAAGTAATATAAGAAATTGCCACTACATTATGGCCATTATTTTAAATGTGTCTGAAGAAAGGACAGGAATGTGACGGTAAGGTGCTCTGCTGCAAACACAACATAAAACCTCTTCAAATACCTGCAAAGGCAACATGCTAACACGAAGCTAAAGACCCCTGAACCCAGAGTGATGATGTTGAGTGTGTGCCTGCTCCGAACAAGCAGCAACAACTAGAATTGTCACCGTTATTAACTTGTGTTATGTCTTCCTTATTGCAATAGTAATTGTTATATGTGTGCACATGTAGGCCTAAGTTTTATGTTCTGGCTTTTGGCTGTTGCTGAGTAACGCAAAAGTAATGTAACTTTATGTAGAGAGTAACGAAGTAAAGTAATATATTGCTTTTTTTGAGTAACGACCCCATCACTGGTAGTAAAGTACAAATAAGCCTTGTTACTCAACAGGTCATACATTTTGGAGATTCATCTCAAGTCGATCCTAAATCTTCAATCCGGGTTTTCTCTGCCTGGAGAAAAATATAAATTTGATTGAAAATGGTGTGAAAGCTGTGAAAAAGGAACAAGACAGCATGACTGATATGTAGGACTGCCCCTTCAGGAGACACTCTGTCACCCAGCTCTGAGATCAGTCTTCTCCAGCATACACTGAAGTCTATCCCCCCGCTCTCTGCATCGCCACAGGTGAGTTCACTCTTTTATATATATATAAATATAAGATTAATACATATATTACAGTGACACCCACAGTCTGTTGTTTTTTGCTTGATTTTTGAATTTCTTATGCTATGAAATGTATGAATGCTTATTTATTTTTGGTTAATTCTGGTTTGAAATTGGCATAATGATGGTATTTATATGATAAATATATCAAATGCATTGTGAGAAAAAAATTCATAATCTAATCAATAATAGTTTTTAAACACAGTTGAGTTAAAAGGACAACATCAGGAGGACAATCATTAACTCAATACACTCGATAGATACTGGGAAAACATTATTATATCTTTATTTTAACAAGTCAAATATATATTAAATTGCTTATAACGAGAAAACCTGATGAGTATTTATTCATTGATAAACCATCAACATTAATAACGACAATATTGCTAAAAAATGATTTGATCCATCCCATGAAAAGCACTCATCAGTCAGGAAATGAGCTGCTCCTAGATACACAGTGCCAAATCGATGCATTTGTTAAAAAAAAAAAAGTAAGTTACTGTGAAGCCAACCGGACATCCACTTAGACATTTACACAGTAGTAGTAAAAGCAAGCCACTGGCTCACTAATAGCAACAGAAACAAACATGGTCATCATCTGTCAACATAAATTATCCTTGTGATAAATATTATAAATTGATAAAATGTCAAACATTTTTACAGGAAATTAAAAAAGATCTTTCTGAGTGCTATACCACAAATGACAGAAGATCTTAACATCAGCTCCAAATTGGACAACTGCAGAGAGGAGGGTGAAAACCCGGCCGTTTCCTGATTCTTATTATATATAGATCTTAAATACGGCTTGGTAACATCTTGCGTCAAGACCCTTAAATCCACCCTCTCAACTTAGTTCACTGCTTCATTTGGCTTTGTGAAATAAAATAGTGGGGTTCTACGTTTAAAAATAAATGATGATAGAGGTCGAAATAAGTGAACAAGCTACAGTACAGGTTTGCCAACGGACATTAGTGCTCATCAAGCCTCTAGTCCCATTTATTTTCCTAGATTAGCAAAGGTTGCTTTTTATGGAATTACCACACTAAACCGTGAGGACCAAGTGTCCAAATATAAAAACTATTCTTAAAAACGTTTTTTTTAAAGCGTGTATGAAACAGGCTGTATGTATACAAATGGTTATAATATTAGGTATGATGGTCATTATAATAGGTATGGAACCTAGTACAGCTGCAATGACTTATTTCCGAGAAGAAGTCTTACACACCAGCTGTGGACTTTTTTTACTCTCAGTCAGCAGTTCTTGTTCTTTATTTTGAGAGTCACAAACGAAATCCGCACAAAATGGCAGATCACACAAGAGTCATTTAACCGTTAGTTATTTCATTACACTACTCTGTAGTTACTCTCTGACTTTTCTGTTGTATGGATCCTCGTTATTTGTTCACCAAATCTTCTCGTTCTAATTTCTACAGGTGAAATATGAACATGAAATAGATATAACTTCCATGACCTTTTAACAAGCAGCCAGACCATGTGACCACTTATCAGACCAATTGACTTGTTAGCAATTTCTTCAACTTGCAGAAAGTGACTAACATGGTTCCCTAATGTCTCACAGGTCAGAAACCAGCCATGAACGATGATTACGACTATGCGGTGTTTAAGGAATTGTATGACGCCTATAGCTCAACTGATCCCAGCAATTTGAATAATGGAACTGTCCCGCTCTGTGTAAAGCAGGCTGTCAACCAGTTCGGTGCAAGTCTCATCCCAGTTTTCTACTACACCATCTTCCTCCTGAGTTACCTTGGCAACGGGCTTGTTCTCTTTATCATCTACAAGTTTGAGAATCTCAGCACAGTGACAAACATCTTCCTTCTGAATTTGGTCCTCTCCAACCTTCTATTTGCCTCCAGTCTCCCCTTCTTGGCGACATACCATCTGTCTGAGTGGATCTTTGGTGTGGCTCTGTGTAAGATGGTAAGCAGTGCGTACTTCATCGGCTTTTACAGCTCAATCCTATTCCTCACACTCATGACATTTGACCGATACCTTGCAGTGGTGCATGCAGTGGCAGCCGCCAAGAGCAGGAAGAAGGCATATGCCATTACTGCGTCAGTGGCAGTTTGGTGCATCAGTATTGTAGCTAGTGTGAAAGAGCTGGTTTTCCAAAAGGTGGGAAAGAGTGTATTTAATGGGCTGACATGTGAAGAGTCGGGATACTCCAAGAGCACCATGGAGCGCTGGCAGCTGGTCACTTACTATCAACAATTCCTGCTCTTCTTCCTCCTTCCACTCACCATGGTGATGTACTGCTACATTAGCATCACTATCCGCATTTTGTCTACCCGCATGAAGGAGAAATGTCACACCATCAAGCTCATATTTGTCATAATCTTCACCTTCTTTGCCTGCTGGACACCATACAACATCGTCATCTTCCTTCAAGCTCTTCAGGTCACCAGCAAGGAAGAAGACTTATGTTCCGAACCGGGAAGCTTGGACTATGCACTGTATGTGACCCGGAACATAGCCTATCTGTATTGTTGCATTAGTCCTGTGTTTTACACATTTGTGGGAAAGAAGTTCCAGAGCCACTTCAGAAGGCTGATGGCTAAAAAAATTCCCTGTCTGAAGAGACACATGAGCACCAGCAGCCAGAGCACCAGGAGCACCTCTGCCTACTAGTACTAGACACACACACACACACACACACACACACACACACACACACACACACACACACACACACACACACACACACACACACACACACACACACACACACACACACACACACACACACACACAGTCTATATTAAGAATGATTTTTTAAATCAGTATGTGTATTCCGTTGGCTTGGTTACCAACCATGCAATGTTGGGGAAATTATGGGGAACATTACTTAGACTTCAGAAACAGGTTTATTACCAGATAGGTTGACACGTACGAAGAAGTTGACTTGGTGTCGTGGTGCACACATAAAAGTAAAACAAAAAATTAAAAACACAGAGAATTATTTAAATAAAACTATAATAACTTAAAAACATTATAAGAAATATAGAGCACAGACATAATAGACCACATAGAACACATTTCTGACTAGTACAAAAAACAAGCTTCTGTAATGTAGCTAGTTCTGTCACATGGACATCTTGGACATGTTGTTATGGGAACACTAAATCACATGACATGGCCCATGACCCACCAGACTGTTCACTGTGTGTCACCTAGGGACTTAATGAGATAAAATAAAGGCTAAAGCTGTATAAGGATCTTCCCAGAACATTTAAATGTCATGTAACATCTGTGTCACAGTGGGTTCTTATGGGTTAATTGGAACGTTTTTAAAGGCATTTATCTGACATGATAAGGACCTCAAGTATAAGACAATGAAATCAATGAAAAGATCAAAACCAGCAATGTGTTTCTCACTACTTTCTGGCTCTGTGACCTAAAAATTGCCTCCCCATTCCAACCAAAGAATAATAAATAAATCAAAAAATGTTTACATAAATAAGAATTGAGGCTGACCAGTGGGAACGTACAGCATTTTGATATTGTTGGAGCAAATTTTTCTCGAGATTTTTTAATAATGCTGAAAATGATGGAATGTTTCTGTAGACCTGCTTTTGGTGTGTTCATTATTCTGAGATCTCCTGTTGGCTGAATGCAAAATGTATGTAAAATGTTGTGTATTTGACACATGTTATCAAGGTCCTTCAGGCCCCTGTGACTTGTTGTATTATTTAAACTTTTGTTCCCCTGATTCTTTGCACTGTTGCATTCTGTCAGATGTTATGACTCAAGATCATTTCCCTTTTCTGACCGAACATCTTGAGCAATTTCCTGTCAGCTAAGCACTTTTTTTTGTTGATCCGTGTGGCACTGAGACTGCTCTTGTTAAAGTCTTCAATGACATCCATTTACTGTAAACACAGACAGTGGCAGAATATCAGTGTTAGTATTATTAGATCTTAGCGCTGCATTTGATACTGTTGAACACAACATATTGCAACTGTAGACCGACTAGAAAACTGGGTGGGACTTTCGGCAACAGTTCTAAATTGGTTTGATTCCTACTTAAAGGACAAAACGTTTTCTCTATAGGCAACTCCACATCAGCGTTGACAAATATGACATGTGGGGTTCCTCAAGGCTCCATCTTAGGACCTCTGCTTTTTAATATCTATATGCTACCACTGGCTTAAATTATGAAAAACAACGACCTAAGTTATCATGCAGATGACACCCAGATTTCAAAAAATATATTGCCAGGATCGCCAGGAGACTATTCTCCAGTTACAACGCTGAGTAAGTGCATTGAGCACATCAATGACTGGATGAGTAGGAACTTTATAAAAATACAATTTATTATTATTATAATTCTGACAAGTATCAGATCTTGCTGTTTGAAATTATCTTCCTGAAAGGTGTCACTTCTGATTTACGTATATATATTTTTGAAATGATGAGTGTTGTACAGCAAAAGCTGGCAGTTGATGTACAGTAATTGAGATTAAGTAGTGGAACGGAAGTGATGGATGGGCACACCGCTTTATTTTCAGCTTATCTGGTTTCAGTTTACAGTACCATTACGTTTATCGTTCCCAAAGGCCAAGATTGAACATCCATGCACAGATCATTTAAGTTGTTCTAAGTGACTAAACGGGTATTTCAAGAAGGTACTATAAAACGCTTTTAAAGTTATATGGCCCGTAAGGGAACATTTTCACGCAGTCAAATCAAAGCAGAAGAGATACCTGATATTCAATTTTTTACATTTCTTATGTTATGTGGACATTAAAACAAACAAACACTCTGAATAAGAGGAATCTGTTTGAATGGCTGATGATAACAATAAAACACACATTGCTTGTATCAGAGATCTCACCCCTGCCTCAAACAGAGCTGCACATCTCTCTGCTTCGGCTCTCTCAACATGAATTTAAGCACCTGTGACAATCAGAGCTAGATGATACCCAACCATATTTGACTTTGATAATTCATCACAGCTTGTATTTTATCGTCTAGTCATAAAAGCAAATTAATATACATCTGATCATATCTAGTGAGCTACTTCACGCTTGCCCATTTTCATTAGTGGTCATTTTTTATACGTGGTTTGTTAACAATACTTTTATTTATTTAATCTACCTTACCATAATCTTTATTCCCTTAGCATCAAATCAAGGGATGTCAGCTCCTAAATGTGTCAAAAATATGTTTTTATATCACTACAACCCCCTACACTATTGTATAAACATACAAAAAGGGTTTAAATTGTTGTAACAGCTCCACTGACACCTGTGTGTTCTCTGTATCTGGAACCAGTTTATGTTACGAGTCCTCAAAGACACATAAGCCTTTATTTAACAGCTCTGCAAAGCCCGGGACAAGGCTATTACCTGAAAAAAGTGACAGACAGAAATATGCTTTCACCACATATATAAGCAATAAATACTTTGTAAGATCATGGGTTATACAAAATAAAATGTTTGTCGCTTTCTTTCTTTCTTCGTTCCATTTTGAACTGCTTTGTCTGTAACAAGGCCAACATGCACTCCCCAGGCGAAAAGCATGTTACGCTCTGCAGGTCGTCGCCAAAATTGCTGAAAGGTTAGATATACAATCAGGAAATTCTCCATGATGGGTTGCAGCAGCTCAGCAGGAGTTCAGATTCCCCGCCGCTCTAGTGTGTCATGCTTTTCCCTTTACTCCGTGACCCCCAGACCCAGTAGGAACCGTACTGCTGTGCTGCTTCGATGGTGGAGGATCTCAGAGGGGCCTCTGGTAGATTTATGAGCACCATGCTTTTGTTTAGCCAAGGCGTCCTGCTTATTTTTGTTTCCCTGTTCGAGACTTCGGGCTGAGATAATGAATCAACAGACAGGACTGAGGTTGATCCACAGAGAGCGACTCTTTACTGCTCTCTTGTTTGTTCAGCTACTTGTTTGTTGAGTCAATTTAGAAAGAAACAACACAGATATAAGGCTCAAATATAAAATATGTAACTATCTACATGCTTTGTTAGTATTTTAGTAAATGGAGATCTGGATCCAACATCACATGTAGATTTAGGTTTTCATTCAGTCCCTTTAGAAATCACTTATTGTAATAAATGTAGTTAATTGTTACACCTGTTTTTTAAGGACTTTTTCAGTGTTGGAGTGTTAGCATCATGCTTTGGGGATAGCGAGATCAGTCTATCAATACATCTGTCCACTAAGTCAGTCTAGACTGAAATTCCTCAACAACTTCTACCAGGAAGTTTTGTACAGACAGTCATGTTCCCCAGAGGATGAACCTCACTGACTTTAGCGATCGCCTGGCTTTTCCTCTAATGCAGTACTCAACTTGCTTTGACCAGGGGCAACTTTTTGCAAAATTAGGCCAGTTAATAAACAAACATTTTCAGTCTTAACCCCCCCTCTCTGGCCCTTTGACTCTGAATATAAGTATATTTTGATGTCTGACATGAACATTACATTTTGCTCTTCATGCTGGGAATTGTATTTATTGACCTCATACTATACAAATGGACGTTTACGTTTCGAAATTCCAGAAACTTAACCTAAGTATTTATGCACACACATGCCGTATACTGTGGGGGATTTGCACAGATGTCCTTGTTATGACCACCATTCAAAGTCTGTTTAATCAAAAGCACATTAACTGTGTTGCAGCCTGTACAACAATGTCTCAATGCACCTATTTTTCGGATCAACCTCTGAAACCCTGCAGCATCAATGAGATGTAACATGATCACAATGCTTTCCCTGTTCTCTTCTTATCAACAATGTATTCAATGATATGCTTGGTTTGTCAGACTGTCAGGGTCTGGCAGTTTTTAAAGACTGAAATAACATTTGTTCGCAGTGATGAAGACTGGAAATGGGGGCTGGTTTAATAACTTTAAATTGTAGATAAGGGTACAGTGAAAGGTATACCTCAGTAATCACACAGCTGAAATGTGCTATAAATAGCATTTGTCATCAGAGCTGGGAGAAGAAGGTGTTTGAGCTAACCGGCAGACTGGATGATATGTCGACTGAGGTCAGCGTGTTCGTGCCGACTGCAGCAGCTCTATTTTTCCGTTGGTCACTGCGGACACCCATAAAAAGTCCTGCTCATGACAGGGTTGCAGCAGGGTCTCATTGTTTGTTTTTATTCTCCTTCCAAGAAAGTTTTAAAGTCAGAGCCTCTAGCTGCATTTCACATAAAGGGTATTTATTTCTCAGAGTGAAGTGACAAGTTAAGCCAACTAAAATGTTCTTTTTTATTGTAGTTTTTAATGGTGTGCAGTATATGTCATCCAGTATGAGAGTTTTCGTTGATAGAATGATTTGTGGCATTCATATTCATATTAAACATTCAACACGTGAATATTTGTGTTCTTTTTCTGTCTCAGAAATAAAACACAAGAGTGTTTTCTTACCTATAAAAACATGACTCATCACTGATATTAACATTTCATCCTCACTCAGAGGTGTTATGGCTTTTCCTGTAAGCTTGTCTCCTCATAATCTTTTTTTTGCTACATAGCAGCTTAACAATGGGATTTAAAATACATTCCAAAAAGTAAAAAAACAAGGATTTATTTTTGTTTTTCCATCTCAAGTCTTCCCTTGCTATGCCGTATCTGCATCAAAATAGCAGCTCAGTGGCTTAAAGCTCCCTGTGACAGCAGCCTCAGCTCTGTTTCAATGTTTTCCGGAGCACAGCTTAACCCCCAACCAGTGCATATAATGGGCCAACTTGACTGGCCAAGTTTGACATGCAGTTCTCCCTTTGTAATGGGGGTCAGAGCCTGCCATGGTGGAGCAGTTTACAAGTGTCAGAGGGGAAGAGGAATTTGTGGAGACAAGGCAAAAAGTCCCTGCAACTGAGAGGTGGATGCCCTTTTTTTCTTCAGCTGCTCTCTGTTAGCGGTAGTGCGGAGGCCTTCTTCTGAAGGGTCAGCAGGTCAAGTTAGGCACCACGTTAATCCCTTCACAAGCCTATTATGAGCTCCTGAATGTGCGGACACGAGCAGAGCAATACTCTAAGTCGTAAGTCGAACCAAAGCTCTTGATATATGCTTCTGCAGCCATATGGGAAACTTGAAGATCCCTGGCTTTCCGTTTGGTTAAGCCAAGTATTTAATGCCCTGCAAATAATATATATTAATTTAAACCTGTAATAACAACATTTTAGAGACATGGCTCTAGGGCTGGCTTTGTTAGTGCACAGTCATGGTCCCAGAAAGATGAATTCCTACAACAGGTAATCCCCTGAGTTTCCCTCAATCTACAATTAAACATTTTCAGTTTGATATCATAAAATGTTTTTGATTTATTGTCACCAGATTTTGTGCAGACATTTCTTTGTTCTGACGACCTACTCTTCTCACTTTGGTGTTTCCCTGACTATTCCTCCAAAGCAACGCAAAGAATGAGTTTCTTTTTAAATTGATTTAATCTATTTTTAAATAATACTATTGGCAGGAACTTTGCATCAGACTCACAGAGCCGTAAGCATGGCTGTAGACTCATTCCAGTCTGACTCAAAGGATGTAGACTACAGGTGTAAAGCTGCCTTCTGCGAGGTAGGGCACAGAGCCTTCGGTGAAAACAGCTATTTAAGTTACATTTTTATAGTAACATACGCGTCTAAAGGTCACCAGCAATTGGGGATTGATGGTTCATCTTGAGTAAGCACTCGGCGACAATTTCGCCCGACTAGGAGGTGCACCACACTGGACCAAATTGGGCGCCAACGCTTGCTCCATAGGAATACATCTGCAACATCCGCACAGAGCTGTCTTATCTCTGGTCTTGTGAAGTAATCTTAGGTCTGTCATTGGCTACCTCGATTTCATCAAACATTCTTCCCCCCTTCAGCTATCTGGGTTATTTGGCAATGGCAATTTGTGATGATTTTGATTGGTTTAAAAGAAATACAAACATCACTTTGGCTACCAGGTTGTCACCTACTTCGGCGGTCAAATTGTTGTACTGGGCAGGTACTGCAATGTTGGTTTATACATTTTGTGGGTGGGAAACGTCTGCATGCTAGTGCATAAATGATGTAGATTATATTGGAGAATAACACAAAATATTAAATCTTTGTTCTGTAAGACCGCAGAAAGACTCTCAAATGTTCCTCAGAGCTGAGAGACACTGTGGAGTTGGGGGCTAACTCTCTGTGGGTTCATCACAATCAGTTACCCCTTTTACATTTAACACAGTCATTAAATCCATTGGTATTATTCCAATATTGATTATAGCCACTTAATGCATTATTGGTGGCTCAATAAGCTTGCAGTCAGCAAATGTTTCCAATGATTTCCCATTAAATGGTTCCTCATTTGCTTCCTACCTGCTGTTCCTAATTTACTTAAAACCTACCCATGATTAGGGATTTGGGGAAAAGCAGAATATCCACTTTGAATCGAGCTGAATGAATTTAGCCCCATAATGTCGGTAAGTGCTCTGGGAGCTCACATGTTTGTGTCTGGTCTCTTGGTCATCCATGGAGATTAGCAAGTAAATGGCATTCCTCCACATACAGTAATATCCTTTGTAATTAAAAAGGAGCAAATTCTTGAGTGCAATTAATGATACCAATTATAGATATCGTTGAACAAACAAACTGACACAATGACAGATTCACTCCCATACACACTTATACACACACACACACACACAGGATATCCGAAAGTAAGGAAACGCTGTGTGTCAATAGGAAACAACACAGCGGGAGCCGGAGTGTGTCCCGTGTCCCTGAAGGCACCGTGCAATTGCCAGGTGCCTTCCTCTGTGTATTTTCCTGTTTACCGACTCGCATGCCTTCTTGTTTGGGTGTTTTCTTTCAGTCCCTTAAGTCAATATCTTCCTGTGGGCCTTGTAGCTCTCGTCTGACTTCACTGCTCATTTCTGGCCACCGGACGTCATTTAAAGGCTCAGAATATCAGCCAGAGGAAGTCCGATGGAGTCCAGTGTGCGGTGCATTGTTTTGAAACCATGCTGGTTTGGCTTTAGCTATTTCTGGAGTCCCAGAGCTGCCTCCTGCACATCAACTGTATTCAACTGCAAGACATATTTATTTTCCACCTACATCCTTCATAGCCAGATAAAACAATGCCATTTCCAAGGACTTCCTAAATGTATTTCATCTCTAAGGAGTGATAACTTTATCAGTGACTCACAAGGAATGTTTTTCCAACTGTGGAATAGTTTAAACATTATAAAAAAATGCCATGTATTTATTTCTTAGAATTATAATACATTCAATATTTTATTCCGACGGTTTTATTATGTTATCAGTGACAGTGGCCATCTTTCCATATTTTTAGCCTCCAGGTTGAGCCGACAAAGATGTTTTGGTTGGTTGGCCACTTGCTAACAGACTGAAAACCCCCAACAAATATTGTAATTGTTTAACCAAACGCTTATCCCCTCACTTTTCATGAGGTTGACATTTTAGTTTTGTTACAAAGTGTATCAACATTTCTGGAAGGATTACCC